ATTATATCTGCTGCACTCGTTGACCCCTGCAAACTGAATAATAAAGTGATCAAAACATTTATTGACCTCACCAGTCTCCCTTCTTTAACACCCAGATCCCTCAGCTTCACTCCAGTCGCCCTCTGAAGGTTGATCATCCAGGTTTGGGACTGTCAGCCGAGGCCGGTGAGAGGCCCTAACATCCCAAAGTCATTTTAATGTCTGTCTTTTCACCAAGTGTGTCTGAGCCGCTGATTCCATCATTACCAGGGATTGTAGGAAAAGTCACATTACAGCTTCATTGTGTCGCCCAACAGCTGAGGAGGCAGAGCAGAGCCGCAGCAGGACAGGTGGGCTGATCTCAGGGCTGCGTGGAAAAGGAACGAGAAGATTAGCAAGGGAAGGTTTGTGGCTCTGTTCGGCTTATGGAGCGCTTATTCCAGCGGATCTGCGGGTCGGTCCCAGCAAAATATATATTGTGGATAATATATAAATAGTGTTTAGAGGGAGATCATCCACGAGCGGATATAAGGATTTTCGATTCAAAATTCAGGCTTGCATTATAGGCCTGTCATGTATTTATTCTATTATTTAATTTATTAATAAATGTAATTTATTATCAGTCATTACATTTACTCACAATAAAGCCAAATACCGCCTCTAATTAAAAATAGTAATATAACTAAATTAACTTGAAATAACATATAATTTTAACTCAAGAGCAATTATTCGATTAATTAATAATCAAGTCAGCTATTTTTAAAAACTTGGTAAAAACTAAATATTTCAATTTGGGTCGAATGCAAAGAAGATTGATTCCTAACAGCATTGCAAGTAAATATCCTATAGTTAGTGCAATAAATAAGACTGCTGTTAAATAGGAAAATAAAAGAATGCCAATAATCATTAAATATTAGGCTTATCATAATACTACTACTACTACTACTGCTACCACTACTACTACTACTACTAATAATAATAATAATAATAATAATAATAATAATAGTAGTAGAGGCAGGTCATATTGTTGGAACAGCTTTTAGTGAAAGCCTTTAAAGATAATCGGGTTCCAGAGATCAGACATTGAGTCGCTTTGCTGAGACTTTGCTCCGAGCTGCAGGTCTCAGTGTGCAGGCCTGATGCGCAGGAAGTGGCGCACAGAGCGGAGTTAACAGGCTGATCGCGCAGGGAAAAAATGTTTTACACATTTCCCATCAGCGGCAAAACGAAAACATGAGGGTGGAAAGAGAGCCGCGGATGTTCACTGCTGGTCAGAGGCTGTCTGCACCGAGCGGGCCTGAAGTCAACCTGCGGCCCCGGGAAAGGAAAGGAAGCTTGGCAAAGGTCAAATCTGTCTTTTTAAAATAAATATTCTATGAATTTAAATAAAAAGTGCGCAGCTGCAGAAGAGCTCAGCAAACATCTGTAGAAGCGGTGGGATTAAGTTAAGAACATCAGAAGAAATTAAGAGACAGATAATAAAATTATAGTTTAAAAGAAGAAATACATATATTGCTGAAATATTGTCGGAAGATTTAAAGACAGATAGAGACTCATAAATCAAAAGAGTTTGGGTCACATAAATTCATACTGACACACTGTACGCCACTGCGGACATATTACAGGAGTACCGCAGTGACTTCTCATACAGGTTAACGTAAACTGACGTTATTGTGCATAGATACCGACGCAGGAGATATTGAATGGAAAATAATGTGCAAATGTGATTTGAGTTTAAAACTAATTGTTGAGAATCCAATCGGAGAGTGGGGGAGGAATACGGAGCTTGGAATTATATGAATGTAATGATGATTGGAAATATAATTATAAAAAAAATGTTTTGGATGATTTTGTGCGAGTGAACGCTTCTGCGTAAACTTCTGGCACAGTAAACAAGTAAATATTCCGCGTGCGCGTGGGTGTAGAGGATGGTGGGTTTAAATCACTGTGGAAGGAAACTCGTTAAACACAAGCAGTAAAAAGCTAAAACCAACTGTTTAGATCCCAATTATAGCCCCGATGGCATCTCATTAACCTAAACTAAAGCATGGGGGGGTCAATCAATGCAGAGGTTTAGATGGAACTGTTTTATAAGGTTCATCATTTACTAAATATTTTCTGTAAAACATTTTACAGCAGGCCTGATGTTTACATCGTGAGTCCTAAAATTCCTGCGTTTTGTTTGGTTTTCCGTTTCTACCGAACTGCTTCAGTCTGTGCGCAGAGAGGACACAGAGCCACAAACATTTCTCTGAAGAACCTTTGTTTCCTGACCTCGCCATCCTACCGGACAGACACGTGGGAGGTGGGCGGAAACGCTCAAACACGTCATTAATGTTCAATTAGTAAAATAAGGCTTTTGACCCCGCCTGACCCCGCGGATGAAGCGGTGAAGCGACAGACGTTTCAGCACCTTCCATTCCGGGCCAAGGACTGCGATTCCCCACGCAGGACGAAACCCTCTAAATATAGTGTGGAGAGCAACTGCAGGAGCCGCAGGCACTGAGAAGTTGAAGATGTGAGGATTAGGACTGGAACTGAGACTGTGAGGCCGTGCGCCAAGATCCACCTGACGCTCATTTATAGGCGTAAAATATCAATCAGCAGCATCCGGTTGGCGCAAGATGACGGCGCGGCTGTTAAATAGCGCACTTATTAATAATTGTGTAAGCGCTGATCACAAAAACCAAGAGGTCAGAGTTCAACATCTTAAACCTCACATGTGATTTTATCGAACGAGAGGATGCATTGCTGATAAAGGAGCCGCTTTGTTTTACGCTCTCCTTGAGGGCTGGTGACCCTGACTCTGAGTAAAAAACAAACATCAAAGCAGGAAATAAACTGTATCATTGTGTGTCTGCAATGATCTTTGTGCACAATGACATGAAGACATGAGCCTGTGGTTACGTTTTGTTAAGCGCCGTTTAAACTTTCTTGGAACATGAAAGCGATTGTTATAATAAAGGTCAAATTTATAATTCAATAAATATTGTAATGAAATTATATATTTATATAAGACAAAGTTTAGGCAGTCCTGAAATAAATAAAAAAAATGCCCATAACAACATAGTGAAAAATATTAATTTATTCCTTTATTTTGTGTATTCTACAATACAAACGGATGTTACGCAGATATAATTATACAATGAAAAATACCATGCAGCTCCAGCCTGTATCTGTATGGGTATACGCAGGTTTACCGACTATACCTACACTTATTGTTCAGTCAGCATTCGGTTTAACCACCGCTAAATCCCCTCTGATGCGCAACATTCAGAAGTGCTCTGGAAGCAAAACATTTTCCCAGGATGGCGAAGGCATGACAGAGTTATCCAATTTTCAGGAGTGGAATACTTCCCTCAAAATGCAGAATAACGCAGTTGTCTCGCCCCGTTATAGGATGCGGACCAGTATTGGTGCAAACTCTGCACCTCTTATGTGGCTAATGTTCATTTCATAAAGATCCTTACGGCCTGAAGTCCGGCAGCAGAGGTTAAGGGACGATGTGCAAACACTACTGGACCGTTTTTGGGTGAGCCAAATATGCAAGAGTAGTCTTACATATGACTGGTTATTCTTTGCTGGACGGGTAAACAGTTTATTCTATTCTTCGACACAAAACTAAAAAAAATACAATTAAATTGCACTCAGACCTTGAATGTGCGTGTTTTCCCTCTGTTTCTTCTGTTAAATGTGTCTTTAACAACATTATTCAGACAGTGAACATCTGCAGCACTCAGAAGTGGAGCCGCAATTATAAAACATATAATGACAGATGTATCACAGCTGAAGTCCTTTAGGAATATCAGAGGATTAACAGAGAGTTATTAATGCCACAAATTACACAAAGTGCGATAGCCCCTTGACCCTAACACCATCAAGTGCGATACAATTGTATCCTACACACACACACACACACACACACACACACACACACACACACACACACACACACACACACACACACACACACACACACACACACACACACAGTCTATAGAAACACTGAGCAGCCTTTAGTTCAGGTTAATTACAATCAAAGTGAAGTGTCTGAGCCTTCAGCAGCCTATAATGTGTGGAGGTAAAGAGGCTTTAGGTTTACTAGTTTCCTATACTGCTCACTGCATGGACACCGTTTTTATATTTATTTAGTGTCTGCCGGGCTGTAGCTGTTTCCATTTACCACTATTTCTTTAAAAAGTAACATTTATTACGACTCCATTAAAGTTTTTACTTCTGCGCGTAAAACGGTTCAGTTACGGTGTCGCTTTCATATTAAAACAGATTACTTACTACACCACAGCGATATCACTGCAGTCTCACTTTACACAGAGACATGTATTTGTCCAAACAGGATTTACAGCCCGGTGCTGTGTGCATATGTAGTCTATATATTTTTATTTATATTCTGTCAGCTGCTTAATGCCAACAGGGAAAAAGCACCAAAGGGAAATAAACCGAGCGAGGATACGCTCTGTTCCCAGGTAAACACCGAGATGGAAAAACCACAGCGCCCTCCAACTCCATAGTGTGTGTGTGTGTGTGTGTGTGTGTGTGTGTGAACGGTCCGAGTCCCTGCAGGAATATTACAGGGCTACGGAAGTGCATTTTCAATTAGAGAAAGTGTGATGACAGAGAGCAGAAAGTTAAAACTGTAGCAGAAGAAACAGCAGGAGGATGAGGAGCTGTGGGAAGAGTGAAAGGATGAAGGGATGAGAGGGAGAGGAAGGGGGGTGGTAAAAAAAAAAAAAACTAAGAAGGGAATATAGAAAGAAACAAAGAAGGAAAGAAAAGGGAGAGAGAAGAACAAATGAAGGATGAGAAAGAGTCAAGAGTCGAAGAAGGAAGAGAAAACTAAAACTGAAGCAGAAAACTAAGAAAGTTTGAAAATGTACTGTGTGCTGATTCATTAAATGAAAGGTTGTGCATTAGTGTGCACATATCACTTTATGGTTACTCAGAATATGCATGTGAATGTCAACAGAATCAGTGTTAGCAATGAAAAACTGCTGAGCTGCAAATCAGATTTTAAAAAAACATGAAGCCTCATTTATTTTATTTAAATACCCAAAAGACAAAAAACAGTAAAATAAGCAGACGACAGTAACAAGCAGAATACCAGTTGACTATCCCCACACACAAATACACAGTTCTATCACCTTAATATCAATGCTCATTTTTTACATTCCGACTCCTCGTGATGTGTGACAGTGCGTGTTGAAGCTGCGGAGCGGAGCCTGTTTCCCTGCAGCAGGCTGAAGATCAACAGAAGGGACAAATATTCTGTTTCTGAGGCCATAATACATCAATTCTTCCCTTTCACCACTGAGTGTGGTAAACAGTGTCGTAGCGCAGAGTATAAAAAGAGCAATCAATAAAGAATAAACTATATTGGTCATTAAAGATGTGGATAAGCTGATGCAGTATGTTCAGTACAATCAGGAGCAACTTACCTTTGTTTGTGTTGAAGATCACATGTTCACTGCTATGGATGAGCTATTATTGCAGCCATTATTTATTATCAGTGATCTCCACTGTCAATTGTTGCACCACAGAACCTTTTAAGTGATCTCGCTCAGTTCATTGCTCACACACTGTCTGCACTGCAGGAAGTACAGAAGGTGTCCCATAATTCATTTGTTCTCTCTAGCTTTTAACTGTGGCCTGACCTTTGTTTGTTTATGCAAACTTTTTAAAGGTGCCCACAATAGATGCACACTGGACCAAGAAAAGTCACACAAAAGTCCCTTGTTGCTCCAACTGCCCAAAAAAAAGTGATAAAAGTTAAGATATTGTATTCCTCCTTTAGCTGGGGACCCCCTATAACCCACTCAAGGACCCCTGTTGGTCCAAGAGTCCCTGGACCCCAGTTTGTAAAGCACTGCGTGTTGGAGTCGGGTTGCATTTTCTTGAAGTTATACTTTTATTTGTATTTTCACGGTTCAATCCTTTCTTCCATGTTTTTTGGCTTTGTAAATTTTTGATGAACTGCATTGTGTTTGAGCGGTCACACTCGGGGTAACGTTAGAAAACAATGTTTGAATCAGATGTCAAACCGCCAATGAATCTGGTTTGAATCTTATTGGCAAAAATCCGTGTTTTTATGTTGTTGTGTTTTGGTCTGTGTTAGTACAGTTTTTATAAATCCAATCTGATTCCAATATTCATGTACAAACATCTGATTGCAGTGTAAACACAAACCATTGACATCTTCTAGAACACCAGATTGCAGCACCTGTGACCTAAATTCAATTTGCATTTGAACACAACCAAACCAGTATAGTATAACAAGTTACATCTTAAATAGGTATTTTTCATTATTTTAGTGGCAGAGCTCAAAAAGACAAAAACATTTTATCTAATGAGTTACATCCTAGAATATTCTAGAGATGTAAACAGTCTTTGGAATAAAATCTGATATCCGCAGCGGTGCAGGGCTGAGCGAGGCCTGCAGTATAAATGTGGCTTTATTCTCCAGCCTAGCTGCCTAGCTGCAGAATCCCACTCGCTGTCGGACCTCTCTGAGGACCGGTGCAGCCAGTTCCCGAGCCCTAAGGGTCCCCTGGGCCAGGACTCCCTCCAGGTGAACAGGGTCCGACCTCAGCCTTTCGATCTCCTCTCTGATGGGCGTAAACCTCTGGATCACAGCCTCGGTTACGAGCGTCTTATAGGCGCCTGTGTCCAACCCTCTGGCCTGGGCCACCGCCTCCTCCACGCTGATCATCGCCATGGCGGCGTGGATGGTCAACAGGTTGGACACACCCGGCCGTGTCTCCGGGTCAAAGGTGACCTCAGAGCTGAAGTCAGTGACAGCTCGGCGAACCTTCAGGGCGATGTCATCAGGAGAGTCCGTGATGGCAATCGTCGCCATGGACTGGGGGTCGGATTTGGACATTTTGGTGTAAGGGTCACGCAAGGATTTGACCTTTCGTATAGAGCCTGCGGGAGGGAATAAGATCGAGAAATCCATTGGTATGATGAGAAAACATATATATTCCTTTCAAAATAAGAAAGGTGGAAATACGATAATGCAAAACAAAAAAAGACCCGACACTTTATGACAATGTTATATTTCCATCTTTCCAAAAAAGTCCTTTACTGCTTTATTTTTAAATCATGTTTAATTCTAGCATATTTGTTTAGGAGTATTAACTGTAAATCTATTTGTATGTGCAGAGCCCTGAGTAGTGTTGGCAAATCTTCCTCTCAGTGACTCCAACACCTTCCATCAATCAGAGGGTGGGACAGGCACAAACCAGGGCAAAAAAAAAGTCCACACAGCATTCACTGCTGGTCCTAAAGCTTAATGCTGGGAGTGTACGGTGATAACATCAAGATAACACTTAGAGACTTTAGTATGTAAATTAAACAAAATATAATCCTTTAAAATCTGATAAAAACAACAATTGTTTAAAAGTAACCACATTTTTGTCAATTTATCCATTTATTTTATGTAAATCAACTTATTGACCTTGGAATATAGTTATGGTTTTTTATTTCAAGTGATGCATTTCAGTTAATTTGTTTTTGTATTTGTATTAAACACGATGTTACTACAATTTGAAATTCTTTAAATTTAGATGTGAATGACTGCTTTAACAAACAGCTCTTTGGAGTTAAAGGATAAAATGAGAATCATTTCCACTGCACTGGAAAAGAAAAAATAGACTCGACACCAAAAAGATCGCTGAGCGTTAGTTCTTGCAGAACCTGAATGAAGAATTACAGTTTCATGACTGCTGCCTTTGTTGTGTGTGTGTGTGTGTGTGTGTGTGTGTGTGTGTGTGTGCAAACGTCCCGGTGTGAAGCAGACGTATCCCGGTGTGAAGTGATGAGCAGACTGTGGGATTTCCTTTCCTTTCTTATTTATCAAAGCCATACTTCCGCAATCTTGCAAGCTCAAACTCTTCTTCCATCTCATACTAGTAGTCCACATCCTCCCCACGTGTCATGTCCTGTTTATCACCCCTGAGACGTCCTTATTTCAGCCAAATTAAAAGGCCTTTTGGTTTGGTTTCAAAGGGAAGGTGGTGACTGGAAACACTGCTTTGCCAAAAACAAGAAATGATGGGACCCACCAGGCTGAGCCAAATACTGCAGCGCTCCTGGCTGCTCACACACGCATACAGACACCACCCCTCCCTGAAGTCATCCCGAGGACATCCCCCCCAATCTATTATCACTCCATTATTCAGATTCAAGAGGAAGAAAATATTTCTTTAATCAAAGCTGCACTGCACACATGACTGACTCCATCTTGTGCTTTTATGATGCTAATAATCAAGGAGGATGAAACTGGGATCTCTGGACATGTTAACCATGTGTGTGTTAAACTGAGTACATACTGGAAGACAGTGGAGTAAACATTTCAAAATAAAACAGTCCTAATGTTATTTCGTATGTTAAATCTTTGTCGAATCACATAAATATTTCCCAGAATTTTGCTTATGTGTAACCTGTGCTTGGTCACTCTGTCGTCAATAAAAAAAAAACTTTATTTAACCCCCATTTAAGTCCCATTAAGGTTACACCTCAAATACAAAACAATATAAAAACAATCCAACACAAAACAGACGAGACAAGAAAAAAGCCATGAAAAGAGACAATTAAAAATGTCATAATTTACTATAGAATTTTAAATATTATTGAAATTGGCCAGGGACGTGTGGAAATTCTCTGAATTTAATTTCTTTCTATAGATTAATCCCAGTGGCTGAAAGTAAATATGAAGGATGATTTATTCATCCCTTTCCCAGAACTGGCGACAGACAGCAAATATAGATCTTGCCATCTGATGTAATGAATGTAAAGTTTCTCTCCCTCATTTTATGTATAAGAATTAAGTTTGCAAAAATAAGACAGAAGTATGCCAGAATCACCTTAAAAATGCACGCTGCAACATTTGTTGCTTTGCTTTTTGCTGTATTTTTTTCGTTCCGGTCGTTTGCTGGGCAACCCGCTAATGCAGTTACTTCATCATCATCCAGATATTTCCAGCAGCTAAAACAGGGTTTGATGATTGAAATTATTTTAGTAATGTAAGACATCACTATTGTTAGTCCCTCCAAATCAACACACTGGGGATTCTTTCTTTTTGTTTGAGTCAGTCAGGAAAAAAGTCCACAGAGGGAAAGGCAGAGAGATCAATGCAAGACAACACAGCACAGAAGCAGAAAATATAACAGAAGGCAACATGGCTGCAAGACCTGCTGTACTCTGCACGGCAAAATCTCTCATCATGTTATTTTTCTCATTGAATGAATCATTTCTAGAGAATTATCGAAGCAAGCTGATTTCTATTAACACTGGTTGAAATATGCACTGGCAGATTGTTTTAGAAAATAAACTTTTAAGGACTCAGTTAAGGACAAAAATGATTAAATCCCTGATGCACTGTTTCCATTAATATGTGCAACTCAGCTAAAATCCAACAAGCTTTTGTCCCTCTGAAACATGTGTGTGTTTAATGTGTGTAATGAGGTTTTATAAGAAGCCAACTTGTGATTGGTGATATTGAGCTACATAAATAAAACTGATTTCACCAATCATTGGCGAATAGAGATCTTTTTCATGATCTGATGAGTGTGTGTATGAGTGCTGCCATGCCTGTAAATGTGTGTATGAGTGTGTTCTTACTGAGCAGGGCGCTGGGCTCAGGGAACAGGTCTCCGTAGCTTTTGTTGAAGATGCGAGCGAGATCCTGAGCCAGCTCTAAATGCTGGACCTGATCCTCTCCGACGGGGACGTGAGTGGACCTGAGAGACGAACCCATATCACAACGTGAGCTTCTAAACAACAGTACACACTGACAGCACAGGACTGAGACGTGAGAACAAATTGGAGACACTTGGAGACGCTCGCTGTTGGAGCTCTCTTCGGAGTCAGTTTAGCAACTTTGCAACTGTCAGTCCGGAGGAAGTAATCCATTCATTTCATCTTTAATAAAATACAGAGAGCATTAGAGGAGGAGGGTGTCGCAGGAAATGAGCTTTTAGCTGTTTGATGGTTCAAACAGAAACTCCTGAAGAGATAACTTCTGAATTTGTTCAGAAATATGAAGCTTATTGATCCTAACCCACTGACAGCTATCTTTGGAGTTAAAGAACCTGGTCTCGTGTTATCCAACTCTCAATATAACATGATAACATTTATATCTGTTTTAGCACGCAGACTGATATGACTAAACTGGAAGCAGGCTCGGCTCCCAACTCACTCTACCCTTTTGAAAGATGTTATGCAACATCTACAGTTAGAAAAAACTGAATTCTCACTGAGAGGGTGTGAAGACAAATTCCATCAAATCTGGCAGCCCTTTTAGAAACCAACACTTCCTACAAACTAACCTGTTGTTAATAGGAAGACAGCACTGAGCTACGTGACATCCTCTTCCATTTCTGCCGCTTTTCGTGTGTATTCTGTACTTTAACAATCAACCTTACTGAAATTTAAAATTAATTTTTTTATTTTTATTTTATTTTTGTTTTGTGTATTTCTGTGTCATTGATATCTACATGTCACACATGTCAAAATATTGTTTGTATTTTAAACTCTGAAAACCATAATAAAAAGAAATATGAAGCTTATGGATTCATTTTCAGTGCAGAGACACCAAACTGATGTGATCACTAACTCTGCTCGCATCAAAACGTACAGATGCAGCACCGGCACTCTGACTTGCAGATCAAACATTAACAGTATGTTGCATCAGACATTTTCTCAGCATTCAAATGTGATACTGAAATTTAAATGGCACATCAGAAATCCAAGGACAACAGCTCGGTTCACTGCATTTTAACTACATTAAGGAGTGTTAAAGGGCTGCCTCAGGAAAAGTATATATAAACATATTTATTTAACATATTTAAATTATGAAAATTCAACAGCAACATCTCTTTCCAGAAACAATGTGCCCATGCTGCACAGAACACACTGTTCATAATTTTTATTTGAACTACTTCACACTGAAGAAATAGTCCCTATGAGAACAGTTGGCACGTGTTGATGTTTTTCTTGTATTGGAGGCAGAAACCTTGGAGACAGATATCTCAAAACCTGGACTATTAAAAGCAATGTGCATGTTCAGATAGCACTAGAGTTTTGTCTGTAATATGGGTGGACTGGTTGTTTAAAATAGACACAAAATATCCGCACCTCTATTTCAGGAGTCAGGTGTGTATGAGTGGGATGAGTATCCAAAAAATCAGGCAAAATCTGATGGGAAAAAAAGAATTTGCCTAATGAGGGACTGAAAGGTTGCTAGTAAATGTTAAGTTAAGTTAAGTTAAAGAGTGTGCGGGAATCTTTTCTACTGTTGGACTGGCTGTTTAAAATGTCCTCAATTGAAAAATGATCCGCAAAAATGATTTTAGCTGTGGTAGAAAACCACCCAGACCCACACTCCTCTTCTTGTGTCCAGTTTAACCAGTAGATGACAACCTCAACAATAGTCACACAATAGACGGCCTTGCTCTATGAAAAAGCACCTCTGCGGTTTTTCCCTTAAGGGTAATGTTTTATTTCATATGCAGTAATTTCATTTTTATGATGTTAGAAGACGTGGTTGTTGTTCTCAGATAAGGATCCACCTCTCTCACTTTATTATTATTTTTTGCAGTAATTCTGTTAAATAATGAAGAGACCAATTTAAATCAACTCTTTTTCAATTTTGTAAATCTCACAGAACTTTGGGTCACTTTTGGTAATGACAACAGCAGTCCAAATAAAACAAGTTTTAATAGTTTTTCATTTAGATAACATCCTGATTCATGTCATTATCTAAGACTTTTTGTTCATCACTGCAAGAGTTTTATGTAAAAACAGTGAGGGAAAAGTGGAAATGGCTCTGACGAACAGATAGTCCCAGTTTGTAACATCAGATATTGTCAAACAGAGATAAAAAGTGGAAGTGGGGGATGAATTTAAAAATGTCTAGGACTGCAGCGTCTTTAACGACTGTGCTTTCCGTTGCCTCACTGACTTCACTCAGCTCTTCGCTCTCTCGTCCACTGTCTCCCTTACAAAACCCTGCCATTACTTAATATTTAGCACGCATTAACAACACCAGCAGTAATAGAAAATACAGAATTAAAGGACCAGCTTGTAGGATTTAGAGGCATCTTGTGGCACTTCAAAATAAACTAGGAAATCAATGGAAGAAGAAAAAGAAAATTTACTTAAATAATGCCTAAAAAGAATTTATAAAAGTTAGAATTTATACAGTTAGAAATGAATAAGGTAAATCTTCTTGTTCTTCTTCCCTGATTTATTTTGAATTGCCACAAGGGGTGGCCCATATTTTTCCAGTCATTCCAAAAACCTAAGCCTGTGACCATGGCTGAAGGCTTAGTTTGCCCAAAAGAAGAGTGTTCAACTGGACGTGTGGAAATAATATGGATTCCAAACTAAAGAATGACAAATATTTGTTTCTTAACAAAATGTAAGGTAAAGTGATTCCAGCATTGCCACTATTTTGGTCAGGATAATCGTGAAAGGACATTTTCATATCGTCCAGTGCCTAATCATCAGTTATAATCATGCGAGGAACAACCTGACCAACAGCTTTAGCTTACAGAAACTGACAACTCTGATAGTTTTGGCATTCAAATACAAAGATAAATCTGTTTTTGTACGGGGTGGTCACACATTTCGGTATGTTCCACCAATAAAAATGGCTGCAAACCACGAGGATGCACTTCATTTGTCTCAGCTTCATGTGTACCAGAAACATAGACAATAATGAAGTGCTCAACCCCCACACACACACACACACACACACACACACACACACACACACACACACACACACACACACACACACACACACACACACACACACACACACACACACACACACACACACACACACACACCCTACTTGTATGGTGCTCTCACTTGTAGAGGAGAATATCGGCGGCCTGGAGGACAGGATATGTGTAGAGACCAACGCTGCCTTCATTCTTTTGTTTGCTCTTCATCTGGAGTAAAAGATGGACGGAGGAAAAACAGGAAAGTTCAGATAGGTGAAATGGAAAAAGGAAAAACTAAATAGAAGCTAAAACAAAAGTTTACAGGGGATGCGTGTCTCAACCATTTTCTTGCCCCCCCCGGAAAGACCCGTTTTCACTTTTACGACCCATCAATTCTCAGACAAACGGGGTACGGATGGTTTCATGTGACATTTTCCACCGTGTTGGAGATCAACTCATCTGTTGGGTAAACAAAAGGTGTTTTCTATTTAGCAACAGAGACTGAGAATGGGGGAACCGCTGGCTCTCTCGCTCTGTCTCAACATGTATTAAAACTGCTTGTGGCTGGGGGAAAATAACTGTAATTACGAGACTTTTGAAAAATCTGGCCAGTAGAATAGAGAAACAAAACGATAAAACAGACAATAGAGACGTTGGACAAACGCCTGAAATTCAGAAGGAGCGAAAAAAGGGAAAGATCTTAATTTGAAACTATTAAAGTGAAGTTAAGCGCATATGTGGCTATAATTAAATCAGCATGATTCTGAACCAGTGAGACAGTAAGAGGAGGTCCAACCTTTGATAGACATATAACATCAATAATATTCACAATATATGTAATTTACTATAAAATGGCCCGTCTAAAAGCTCAGGCTACAAAAAACTGGGTTCATTCAAAAAAATTATAGCTGGATTTTAAGGCTAGTCTCTGTTTAATGTTCAGCTATGAAATAAATACTTTTCATCTCCAGCTGATGATACGTTTAGTCCAAAACAGATCTGACCGCAACGAGTAACAGGATATTAAAACTGGATTCGATTTTACATCAGTCAGTTTAAAATGATATTTGGCATTGGATCTCCATAATGGCATAATGTCTATACAATTTGGAAAGGAGTACCCATAAAATGTGTGAAGAAACAGCATTATAATGAAGTACTGTAGTGCTGCAGAGAGGCCCTGGTCTACTATTCTTGTTCTCCAGATGTAAGAAAAGATGTTTGTTTGGTACAGACCCCAACAAATGTCACATCATCATGATTTCAATAGTTTGTTTAGTGAAAATCAAAATTGTGATGTAAGAATAATAATTTCCACTTGTTGTGAATCATACCACAATCACAATATCTGTCAAAATAATCAGAATATGCTATTTTCTACCATATCATGCAGCATAATTAATCTGCTTCAATATTTGCTGTTTGAGGCTCGAGATTGAGGCGTTTTTGTTGTTGAATTGCTACAAAGCAAAAAGGCTCTTTATAAAATGTCCCTTAACAAATGGTGCTGTTAAAATAAAAACACTGTGTAAAGTATTGATTGATCAACAAATAATAACGATATCATATAATTATTATTTAAATTAGTATTAAGTCAGATGTTAGTAGTCTGGCTTGTAGAGCATCAATACACTGTTATTAGCCCACATTTAAATAGTAAATAGAGGCTTGTTAAAAGAAGACGAGATAGTTTGATTCCTATCAAACAGGTAGTGTAGGATGTTATCCATGAGGGTTGTGCAATAGGTCACTGTTGTAATAATCATATTTAAATACACTCACTCAATCAGTCAGTGTAAACTTGCAACTGTCACAAATGGTTATAAATCATAAATATTACATAATACTTTAACAATCAAGATTCCATACTACCCTTCACTATTTATCAAGTGTTCTTACTTCTGCAACAGTCTAACTGATCATTTGTCTGATTATTCTGTGCAGATGTGCATGTGTGAGGGTCTGCTGCAGCAAATCTCTAACGTCTAACCTTCCACTGCGGCAGGTGTCGGAGGCGGGGCATGCTGGTCAGACAGCTGAGGATCCAGGAGAGCTCGGCGTGCTCTGACACCTGCAGGGTCGAGAGAGAGAGGGGTGGGGATGCATCAAATGACACAGTTAGGAGAAAATCTGTTTTGACTTAATATTGAATTTTACATATTTTAATCTACTACTCAACTAGTCAATCTTTTCTAATCTTCAGATTTTTAATACTACAACCTGAGCTCAACCCACAAGCAACCTCAAAGTCGGATAAATCCTGATCCTTCAAAGTTTGGAAACATTAAGTGATGTCTTTACTATAACTCAAAAACATAAGATAAATATTGTTTGTGTAGAAGAACAGACACGCTGACCCGAGGAGTGGTTGTTGCTGCTGTAGTTTGTAATTTGGTGGGTATTTCTTTCTTTCATTCTGTTTGTTTATAGTTCTATAGTTATCTTGCCCGCCCCCTGTTATATACGTTTACACACTGAACAAAGAGTATCTGCACATCTACATACATACATACACGTGTCTGTAGATATATCTGTATGTGTCTGTGTGTTGTACTTTATTTAGTCCACGCGTAACCACAGAGAAGCATTCGAGAGATAAATAGAAGAAATCAATTACACAGACAGATTAAACAAACACAGATGAATGGATGAGAGGACTGCTGTGGGACAGCTGTGGTGGTGCAAGAGGGTGACTCCCTAGCGCCTCCAAGTGGCAGAGAGGAGTACTGCCAGTGTATGCTTCTCCCCATCTGTCCTCCACTCCTTACAGACAGGTGCACCTGGTCACACCTGTGCTTACTGTTTGGATAGTCGGGTTTCAACTACAAATTATACATTAATGTGTATTTCCTGATATCGACAGAGCGGATTCAGAATGTTATTCTGAATAAAATCTGGGTGCATGGATATGCTGTTTTCGTTGACATTTTATTTACATATTAATTTTGTACATCTTAAAGACTCATTGACTTTTGTGCTATAACAACAGACAAACAAGAATCATTTCAACACAACACCTCTCTTTTACACATTAGTATGAACCTTTGGGGCATCCTGGATTTTGATCAGCTGTGGTCACATTGGGGGTTATTAGTGTTAGTCACTGATGCCTATCATTTGTGGGAAGTCACAGTCTCAGCTAACAAACATTGGTACACTAAAAATCAATCCATTCCTAAACTTCAAATATCATCATTTGTTTTTCCACCTCTGAATTTAACCGATTTAGGAAGTACAAATACTTAAGCAAAAGTACAGATACCTAAAAAAAAGCTACTTAAGTACTTCCAGGTCTCTGTGCTTTACTTGATCTACATTTATATGCAAATAGTTTCAGTTAGCTTTGCACAGAAACAGCTGGAACAAATGTCTTTCAGAGAAAACAAGAGAGCACTAGTTACTTTTATACTTGAGTACATTTTAGAGCCTGTACTTTTTCACTTTTACTTGAGTAAAGAAGTTGAATCAGTACCTATTTTACTCAAGTATCTGTACTTTGACTTGAGCGTACTTTTGCCACCTCTGGTTAAATTTAAAAAACAATTTTGCATGTGGTCAAATGTATTATTAATATGTTGTTGTGAAGCAATGCATAGCTGAATGCTAATGTAGAGTATCTTGTGCATCTGGCAGTGGTAAATTAACTCCAACATATCCACTTTCACGGAGGCTGTCCTGAATGTATGTGTGTGTGTGAGAGAGAGAGAGTGAGTGGGGATGCAGGAAATATCCTTCTGCTTCAGCAAATTAAAGTTTATGGACGCTGGCTATATTGCCTTCCCCTCTTTCTCTTGTTGCTTGAAAAGCATTCTGGGGAGCGTGACGTCAACACCAGACAGCAGGGACATAAACCTGGATTTCAGGCTTGTACATGCAGGGGGTCGGTATTCATTACACACTGCAGACAGACAAGAGATGGGACAGATGTCGATGACAGCGCAGAAAGGGACGGATATGGTTTGAAGTGCAATAAAACTCCGATATTTAAAAGCTTGGGAAGAACAAGGCCTCCATTCAGGCTGCATGGTAAGAATGCACCGCAACAAGGGATATGCTAATGATACGGATCATCCGGGCATTACATTGATAGTGAGTTATCATACAGCCATGGTAAAGACTCTTCAAGACTGTAGAGAAGGGATTTTAGAGAACAGCAAACAGTTGGCCCTGCACTGTAAATCCATTCTTCCCCTCCATACTTACTAGAAAACCCAGAGGATTTGTGGATCTGCTGATTCATTCACTTCCTTTTTGATACCACTGACTTCAGCTTGCACCAGATCTGTTCTTTCTTTTTTTTCAATGAGGTAGAGTATTTTCTTTGGGCAGTCGTTGTATTTTTACATGTGGAGCAGGCGTGTTCAACAGGAGGGTTGCCTCGCTGCCAAGTTATGTGGCATAAAGCTAAACGGGAATAAAAATAGGGCTGCGAGTGTGTGTGTAGGGGAGGGGGGGGATGGCAGAGAAACACAGATGGGCCAAACTTAACTATCTCACACTCTCTTTCTCACACACACACAAACAAACTGTATGTATGCATAGCGTACGGAGGAGATAAGAATCAGGAGCAACCAAATAAGCGTTTTGGGGCCGGCATGTCGGCAGGTAAATATTAAAGAGTCGACAGCAGTAAAATAAACAGTCAAAGATGGCTGACTGTTTAGATATATATATATTAACCACATAAGCAGACACTGCAGCATTGATTAAGTTAAAGGTCTGAACTTTTGTTTAATAACCACAGTAAATGTGTGAAATAAAATGCGCAGGCATAAAAAATAAATATGTGTGCACAGTCAGGCAAGAGCTCTTCATATGTGATCATGTATGAAAAGCACTTCTCTGCGCCTGAGTATGAGTGGTATTCATTTATCTCTCTATTGATTGCAAAGGAGAACAAAGCCGCATACATTCATAACTAATGATGAACAAGGGCACCAGTAAGAACATTTTAAACTTCCTACGACTGGCATTTTAAAGAAGCATTTATCAGACATAATGTCAACATGTTGTTTACTCTGTTAATCTTAACAATCCTGAATTACACTCAACTTTCAGTAACACGTGACCCTACATCTGTTATAGCACCTGAGCAGTAAATGATAAAATATGTATATGTATGTATCTACTTGACATTGCCACTGTAGTAATAGTGGCATGGAGAACACAATTTTATGTCATTATGTTATTTTATGTTTTTGTTTGTTGACCCACTGGACCAATCTATTTTCCAGTTTGTAATGGAGCACAGCAGACATCCACCATCCATCCACCCCCCCTCTCCTGCCCACCTGAGACTGCTGGAAGAGTATGGCCTTCTCTGGGTCGATGCCGCAGGCCAGCAGGCTGGCTGCCATGTCCAGTATGTTGCTCCGGAGCTGGGCCGGGTCCTGAGGCTGGGTGATGGAGTGCAGGTCCACAATGCTGTAGAGGACTGAAGGATACTGGTTCTGCAGGGCCACCCAGTTCTCCAGGGCACCCAAGTAGTTGCCCAGGTGGGGCACTCCAGTTGGCTGGATCCCAGAGAATATGCGGCCACCTCCTGCAGGCTTCTGGAAAAGAAGTAGAATTATGTTCAAGGTAGCTTTATTGAAACAAGACACTCTGTGAAGATATTTTCACTTAATTACCTTTTGAAAAAAAAGTCCATACAATGTACCATACACCTTCATTAGTGCTAGTGTATCTTAAAATAAAGAGTGTACAAACATAAATCATGTCTTATGTGCTAAACGTAATAGTACCCATAATATCAACGTCTCAGAATGAATGCAGCAATGATTTATTGATTTAAAATTCCACACTAAGAACAAAAGACAAGACAAGATAAGAGATGGGAGAAAAACTTCTAAAAAATGGAGAAGAGAAGAGAAACTAGTGTTTGGGAGAGGGGGTGAAGGTGAAAAGGTGAGAAAGTTAAAACTAGAAAGAAGCCTGCAGAGACTGAAGTGTCACTGTTAAACTATTGACAGGCTGGGGGCCAGCAGCGGTCATGCTTGTATTACCGAAATGCTAACTCCATGGCTAGCACCTCCGTTCTCTCCCAAACACATCCAGCACAAAGAATGCATCACCTCACTGGCCAACAATAATAATTAACATCTGTCTGGCCAAACTCGAGCCCTCTGTTACCACACTGGGGAAGGACACTGAAAGAGGAGGTGGAGACAGAACCACGGAAATAGAAAATATACTATACAACATACAGCCCACTATATCACCAACATTACAACAAGGACTTTATTTTACAGAGGTGGAGCTAGGATAGCAGTGGGCTCTTCACCCCCCTCTGAAAGAAAGAGGGAGATCACTCGTTGTGTTTGCATTATTGGGCAAACATTGTGTTTCTCTTTCTGCAGAGCCCGGCCAGGCCAGACCGCCTCATTTCTTCTGGCATTGGCCCACTCCACTGAACCTTGGCTTTAAATTGGCCCTGCTGGAAGAGTCTTAACCACTGCTTGTGGCACCAAGCACCACATGATACAATTAGAGGGCAAGCAGAGCGGCACCTGTCATGAGACATGAAACCGCAATGGTATCCAAAGCCTTGGGATTCTTCACCAAAGCCGTTACACAGTAGATTAGGGCTTTGACAGAGCAGAAAAACACAGAGACCCAGACTGGAACGTGGTGTTTTTGTTGAGCAGCTAGAAAGACAAAGTGTTTGGCATCTGGGTGACACACATTAGCCTGCCCACCACGGAGGCCAGGGCTCAGTTCCCGGCAGAGGCGCGGTGCTGTGGCTTGGCCGTGAGCTCAAACTCACAGGTGAGAAGGTGGTGAGGGATCATTGTCCTTCATTTGGATGGGGAGGTGGAATATGTGGTAGATAAAACATGAACCTCCACGTGCACAAGGGTTAGAATTACACAAGGTCCACAAAATCCAGAATAACTAACTTACAACTAATTTTATTTAAATATAGCATTTTAGAGGGAAATCCAGTAAATGAAGTCATATGTATATACAAGAGGGCAAAGACTTCAGTGGGGTGCCTCCTGCACTGCAGTTGGATGAAAAAGTGCACAAAGTTTTACATCAAATTATTCTTGAGGCTGTAATTTTCATTTAATCACTTTCAAAGAAAATGACCCAAAATTCTGTTTGTGTTAGCTTGACGTGAGATGTGTTGATGGGATGTAAAAAGCAACAGCTGGATAGAGAAGCCCGTTTTAAAATGTTCCCCCACAAAACCCATGAGATCTCTGTGTTATCGCCTCAAATCTGGCTGCCGATCATATGTTCCCCGGCTGCACTCCTCAAGGTTATCATAACTAATCATTAAAACCTGAAGCTTTCAGAGGATATCCTCTACAGTCACTGCTGAGAAATCGGTTATCTTGACAGCTAGCTGAGCTACATCACATTCAATCTGACTGAGGGACAGGCTCGGCACTGCTTCTGAGATCAGATAACAGCTGCTCTCTCGCCAGTGTGGCCCTGAGCTTCTCTATCTCTCAGCCCTGAGGGATCAAATAACAACTGTTCTGAGGCCAGCGTGGTCCACAAAGTCTCCATCTACTGGCCTGAGGGAGCTGGTCGCTGCCCGGCAAGAGGGAGGCAGGAAGGAACTGGGTGCTTATGTCATTACCGACGGGGTAATTGCACTGGAGTGCCATTGATGCTGAGAGCCTCTTAAGAGGTGTCAGGATTGATTTGGGCGCGGACGGGGCCCCAAGTCTGGCTCATGTGTGTTCTCACCTCGAGCTGACACGCCAAACGCATGTTCCCCCTCTGCTCCGTCCCCCAGGGGAAGCCATTAGCCATGCAGACATGGTAATGGTGTCATTTGAGCCAATCGAGTGTCAAATGAGAGTCAACGCTGCGGCTAACTAGCCACTGGGCAAACGCGCTATCACGCATAACACTACTCCATCAGAAACCTCCGTGTTACTTTTGGTCAGAGGAAAGTGTCTTTAAACATGTGCCTGTATAGTCGTTGGAAATGAAAGTCGGTTACACAAGAAAGTAAATCAACTACTGCATGATGACAGAGGAGACAGCAAATGTTGTACAGCTATTAATGTTTGTAATGAACACCGCACTGCAAAGCCAACAGTAATAAAATATTATCATCTAGCATACTTTGGCTGCGGACTAAACCTGTGCAAGTAAATTCATTTTAATATTTAAATAGTTTTGGAGTGCTTGACTTCATATGTTGGAGGCGAATTGACACCTTGTGGCTTGTTAACAATTCCAGTAAGGTATATCAAACGCACTTCCAGCAGTTCTAATGACTGAAAATTTGTTTTTAGAAAGAACAACAGTGGAAATCAAGAACACTTTCTATTTTTATTATTAGTTTCTTTCTGTCTGCTTTGAAGAACATTTTGGAGTGACTATTATGTGTTTAAATGGCTATGTAAATAAAGTTGATTGTTGTTGTTTATTATGAGGCACAGAACTGTTGACACACTGTGGGTTGAAATATTTCAAGCATGTTGCACTTGACCACACCCCTTTCAGTGATGTCACAGCAGGTGTTTTGCCTTTGAGAGCAGATGATGAACATCTGCAGCAACATCACAGGTGATTGTGGCCAGAGGAGAATGTCCACAGCCATGCCCAGCACTTCTGTTACAGTTAGGTACATACACGCTAACATGTTGAGGTTCAAATATTATGTTCACCATGTTGAAGCTGAGGCTGATGGGAATGCCAGTTTTGCATAAACTAAAGTTTGACCTGATAATGGCTCTAGATTAAAAGTCAGTAATCAGTTATTACAGTTCATCCTGGGGGGACATGGGTGTTTGTACCAAAGTTCAAGGCAGTCCATCCAACAGTATTTGAGATTTTTCAGTGTGGGTCAAAGTAAGGCACCCTTTGGGTGACCAACCTTACGTTGCTTGGCAGCTGGACTCGCAAGATCATAAGATCACACAAGAGCATCTTTCCAGGCTTTTGTGTTTGAACCACAGTGGTTCTGACCAATCGGCATCCTATGAGGAACTACTGGGAGCTACAGCATGAGCTACAGGTGTGGTTGGATGCTAGGTGTGTGACAACATGTGTGATAAGTGACAGTTTGCTCGAAAATACCAGTGGTGGCTGCTAAAGAGGTTAGCGTAGATGCTGCTAGCATCAGTTATATTAGAACTGGAAAGTATTTCTTAATTGAAAGAAGAGAACGGCTCTGAAGGCTTTTCTCGATGGATAAGATGTTTTCGCTCTTCTTCCGACTGGCTTCTGCAAGAGTTTGACTACGTCATATGGTTTGTTGATCTGACTGGTTAAAGTTCCCCAGTGATTGATGGTGACAGACAGATGGTTCATCCATCACCTGACCTATTACTGAAGTATTTAAGGTACCTGCCCTTTTCCAAACAGATTCCAACGACGGCTTTCCAGATGGTTCCATGTAACAACTGGCAACTGGCGCAGTCAGGTTACACCCAATCAGCAGCTAGAATGATACAACCATCCCTAGAGCCAGCCCGATAGTATGGCGAAAAACTGTAAATATTTTGTGATGTCAAGACATTTTTTGGAGACAGCAACAGCAAGCAGGATTCAATATTCAGTTAACAAGAACACCCAGCTCACTGCAAACAAAACACAATCTCTCCATGTCCAATTACGTAAGATCCCTCTCACATTCGTTGGATGCCTGTTGATGACCACGTAGCAGATGCGGGAAAAGCTGACTGTTCTATCCTCAAATTTTACACTGACAGGCACAGGGCTGTCATACTACATCGTTGCTAAGGTGGCGAAAGCTTTCTTCATCCACATCTGCCATATGCTGAATGTATTACACACTATGTGTGTGTGACATTAACAGCAACAGCTAGAAGGTTAGATATACTAAAAGGCCATGTTTTCACACTTTCAGTACCTTTCCGGGAATATGTGTTCATTTGTCTGTGTGTGTGTATGTGTGTGGTAATCTCCATAGGGACAGAGGTCATGTGCAAACATAGACACATGTCTGCACGTGTCGTAGTCTTTGCCTACATCAACATCAGTTAAGTTGTGAAGGTGTCTGTCCATATGAATTTGACAGCTCCCATCAAGGAACACTGGTAGAAAGAAAACTATCAGACAGGCCATCAAAAAAAACAATAGCATGACCAGATCCTCCGCACAAGTGGCATTGTTAAATGGAAAACAATAGTCAACTGGAGCTGATTCACTTCATCTGAGAACAAATAGACTGTCCTATTCTTTTGGAATCAATGCTGGGCTTCCCACAATTCGAAAGAGAAAATTTAGCTCCAGGATTTCATGGAAACAAGATTTTCCTTTTCTTTCCAGTCTTCCAGAGCCCTGGAACCCCACCACTGTGGGAACTGAATGACAAGTGTTGGATGTATCAGTGATCGCAAGATACATTTAAATTACATCCTTACAGAAGAATGAGTAACAGTGACAACTAGTACTAGGACCAGATGTATAAACCTGCTAACAGTTTGGTTTTGAATCTACACAAGACAGAAATATAAAAACAAAATAGTTTTGCCAGATTTATGAAGCTGCATATTTGGATTAACACAGTTAAACTTGGCAGAGATCTTGTAGGTTGAATTAACTCACACAACACATTTTA